AGTACTACCGTCGCCGTCTCGAAGACGCCAAGAAGGCCACCGAGTCCTCGGACTACGACGACGGCAAGGATGACTACGGCAAGGACCGCAAGGACGACTACAGCTACGGCAACGATGACTACGGCCACCATCACAAGGACGTCTACGAGTACAAGGGCTGCGACGACTACGGCTACGGCCACGGCAAGGATTACTATGGCAAGGACTACTACGGCAAGGACTACTACGGCAAGGACTACTACTATGGCAAAAACTACTACGGCAAGGACTACTATGGCAAGGACAACTACGGCCGTGGTGACGACTACTACGGTGGCAAGGACGTCTACAGCTACGACTACGGCTACGGCTACTACCCCGACTACTCGATCGGAGGCGGCTATGGATACGGATACTACCCGGACTACTACTCGTCTTACGGTGGTGACTACAGCTTCGGCTACGGCTACGGATACCCCAGCAACTACGGCTATGCTGGCTATGGCTACGGCTATGGTTACCCTGGTGTTGGCTTCGGCTTTGAGTCCGCACCGACGGGTGGCGACGCTGGTCAGCAGGAGACTGGTGGTGTGAGTTCGGCCACCACCACGGAAGACGTTGCCTCCAAGTCGGTGGAGAAGGACAGCAAGACGCCGTCCAAGGGGTCATCCGGCAAGTCCGGCGCTGCGGACAAGTCCAAGGGCAAGGGCAAGTAAACGGAAGCAACCAGGGTGCGCGTGCGTGCGTGCGTGCGTGTGTGCGTGCGAAGGCAAGAAGTCGGAGTACCGTAGACGATGGGCGAGGATGTAGCCCACGGCAAGTGTACTGTCGTGTACACCATGTAGCGTTGATAAAAAAACTGGCAGTGGTAGTACTAGTAGTAAGTAGAAGTAAGACGCCGCCAATGGATGTCATCCTTCTTTTTGCGAACGTTTATTTATGTGTGAGGTTAGTCGTTGGTCGTGGTGTTAGAGCACTCTTCTAACCGCATGTTACTAGTCGGTGATACAAGCGCTGGACACAGTACATAGCCCACCTTTGATTCGCATTGGGCAGGTTGAAGACGACTAAAGTACCATTTAGAGCAGTTCAGATGAGTAGTTGGAGCTGTTGGACGTTTAGAACAGTACAAATAAGTACTACTAGTATAGTATCTCTGAAACGAAACCATGCAGGTAGATAAGCTGTGGCACGTTGATGCGTTGGTTGTATTGCATTTTTGGTAGCCCTGACGTGAAACTACGCAGTGATACTACGCATCCTCTTGTCTCGAACCATCTTCTCGATAGGTTTTCATTTCTAGTTGATGGTGGTTTCAGATCCTGAAACCGTGATTGGATTGATGTTGCGCTCGCTCAACCTTGTGAGAGAGACTACTGAGTGGTAATGGCTTCGTCCATCATCCAGCCTCCGCGCGGCCCCCACTCTCTCACTTTCCAATTCGCCACTCCACCACTAAACCGACCGAGCCCACACCCGAGCTGGCCTCCGCGATCAACATGCACTCCAAGCTCCTCGCCGTGCTCAGCCTGTGCGTCGCCGCCTCCATGCTGCACGTGGCCGACGCCGGTGCCGCTCCTGCAGGCCTCTCGCCGCACCGCCACCTCGGCGCCAACCAGAAAGACTATGGACACCACCCGCGCCGCCACGACCACGACCACGACCACGATCACCGCAAGAAGCACCGCCACCACGATCACGACAAGTACTACCGTCGCCGTCTCGAAGACGCCAAGAAGGCCACCGAGTCCTCGGACTACGACGACGGCAAGGATGACTACGGCAAGGACCGCAAGGACGACTACAGCTACGGCAACGATGACTACGGCCACCATCACAAGGACGTCTACGAGTACAAGGGCTGCGACGACTACGGCTACGGCCACGGCAAGGATTACTATGGCAAGGACTACTACGGCAAGGACTACTACGGCAAGGACTACTGCTATGGCAAAAACTACTACGGCAAGGACTACTATGGCAAGGACAACTACGGCCGTGGTGACGACTACTACGGTGGCAAGGACGTCTACAGCTACGACTACGGCTACGGCTACTACCCCGACTACTCGATCGGAGGCGGCTATGGATACGGATACTACCCGGACTACTACTCGTCTTACGGTGGTGATTACAGCTTCGGCTACGGCTACGGATACCCCAGCAACTACGGCTATGCTGGCTATGGCTACGGCTATGGTTACCCTGGTGTTGGCTTCGGCTTTGAGTCCGCACCGACGGGTGGCGACGCTGGTCAGCAGGAGACTGGTGGTGTGAGTTCGGCCACCACCACGGAAGACGTTGCCTCCAAGTCGGTGGAGAAGGACAGCAAGACGCCGTCCAAGGGGTCATCCGGCAAGTCCGGCGCTGCGGACAAGTCCAAGGGCAAGGGCAAGTAAACGGAAGCAACCAGGGTGCGCGTGCGTGCGTGCGTGCGTGTGTGCGTGCGAAGGCAAGAAGTCGGAGTACCGTAGACGATGGGCGAGGATGTAGCCCACGGCAAGTGTACTGTCGTGTACACCATGTAGCGTTGATAAAAAAACTGGCAGTGGTAGTACTAGTAGTAAGTAGAAGTAAGACGCCGCCAATGGATGTCATCCTTCTTTTTGCGAACGTTTATTTATGTGTGAGGTTAGTCGTTGGTCGTGGTGTTAGAGCACTCTTCTAACCGCATGTTACTAGTCGGTGATACAAGCGCTGGACACAGTACATAGCCCACCTTTGATTCGCATTGGGCAGGTTGAAGACGACTAAAGTACCATTTAGAGCAGTTCAGATGAGTAGTTGGAGCTGTTGGACGTTTAGAACAGTACAAATAAGTACTACTAGTATAGTATCTCTGAAACGAAACCATGCAGGTAGATAAGCTGTGGCACGTTGATGCGTTGGTTGTATTGCATTTTTGGTAGCCCTGACGTGAAACTACGCAGTGATACTACGCATCCTCTTGTCTCGAACCATCTTCTCGATAGGTTTTCATTTCTAGTTGATGGTGGTTTCAGATCCTGAAACCGTGATTGGATTGATGTTGCGCTCGCTCAACCTTGTGAGAGAGACTACTGAGTGGTAATGGCTTCGTCCATCATCCAGCCTCCGCGCGGCCCCCACTCTCTCACTTTCCAATTCGCCACTCCACCACTAAACCGACCGAGCCCACACCCGAGCTGGCCTCCGCGATCAACATGCACTCCAAGCTCCTCGCCGTGCTCAGCCTGTGCGTCGCCGCCTCCATGCTGCACGTGGCCGACGCCGGTGCCGCTCCTGCAGGCCTCTCGCCGCACCACCACCTCGGCGCCAACCAGAAAGACTATGGACACCACCCGCGCCGCCACGACCACGACCACGACCACGATCACCGCAAGAAGCACCGCCACCACGATCACGACAAGTACTACCGTCGCCGTCTCGAAGACGCCAAGAAGGCCACCGAGTCCTCGGACTACGACGACGGCAAGGATGACTACGGCAAGGACCGCAAGGACGACTACAGCTACGGCAACGATGACTACGGCCACCATCACAAGGACGTCTACGAGTACAAGGGCTGCGACGACTACGGCTACGGCCACGGCAAGGATTACTATGGCAAGGACTACTACGGCAAGGACTACTACGGCAAGGACTACTACTATGGCAAAAACTACTACGGCAAGGACTACTATGGCAAGGACAACTACGGCCGTGGTGACGACTACTACGGTGGCAAGGACGTCTACAGCTACGACTACGGCTACGGCTACTACCCCGACTACTCGATCGGAGGCGGCTATGGATACGGATACTACCCGGACTACTACTCGTCTTACGGTGGTGACTACAGCTTCGGCTACGGCTACGGATACCCCAGCAACTACGGCTATGCTGGCTATGGCTACGGCTATGGTTACCCTGGTGTTGGCTTCGGCTTTGAGTCCGCACCGACGGGTGGCGACGCTGGTCAGCAGGAGACTGGTGGTGTGAGTTCGGCCACCACCACGGAAGACGTTGCCTCCAAGTCGGTGGAGAAGGACAGCAAGACGCCGTCCAAGGGGTCATCCGGCAAGTCCGGCGCTGCGGACAAGTCCAAGGGCAAGGGCAAGTAAACGGAAGCAACCAGGGTGCGCGTGCGTGCGTGCGTGCGTGTGTGCGTGCGAAGGCAAGAAGTCGGAGTACCGTAGACGATGGGCGAGGATGTAGCCCACGGCAAGTGTACTGTCGTGTACACCATGTAGCGTTGATAAAAAGACTGGCAGTGGTAGTACTAGTAGTAAGTAGAAGTAAGACGCCGCCAATGGATGTCATCCTTCTTTTTGCGAACGTTTAGTTTTGTGCGGTTTGTCGTTGGTCGTGGTGTTAGTATGACGTTTGCGCGCTGCAAAGTAGATTGCGACGTGAGTTCATTAAGCAGTTAGACAAAGCTCCCTAACTACTTGCCTAACAGGAGGGCTGCAGCACTTCCAACAAGGGCGCCCCCTGTAGCAGCGCCCTCCAGCTCCGCAGCACCAACCACTGGCGCTGGTTATGCAGTACCGCCGTTGTCGCGGCGGCGATTATGTAGATGTAGTGTTGACGCGGTCCGTGCGTCCTGTCGGTCAAGCTGTCGGTGTCGGTCGGGCTGCAGCGTCGGCGTCGTCGACGTCGTCGTCGGTCGGGCTGCAGCGTCGGCGTCGTCGACGACGTCGACGACGTCAGGGCCGGCGTCGTCCTTGGTCTGATATGTCCGTTGTCTGGTCAATACTCCACACTGCCCCCAAGACGACGTGACACCTTCAGAGCATCTCCGTGTCACATCCCGCGGAGACGATTTCCGCACTCATGTAGCCATGCCCCGTCGTATGCACACAACTTCAACGGCAACGAGGTCAAGTTGTACCCATCTTGGGCGATCACCCATAACTTTGCCCCCAGCAACGCTTGGACCCCCAAACTTTTACTGCAATTCAGCCACCTCATGCTCGTCAGCATACTTGCTCACCAAAGCTGGAACATCATGCTGGATCGAGCTGGCAGGCTCCCAGGAATTCTCGATATCCTGGAGCCCACGCCAAGCGACAAACAGCTCCAGCTCACCGGAAGCAGAGTTGACATGGTGTCCAACAATCTCCCGGACCTCAAGGACGATTCCTTGCAAGGAGACGTGCTCACGGATTTCGGCGGTCACGTCGAGGTCCTTGTCGTGGTAAACTTAAGACGCGACCCGTGGACGTCGTACTCAGCCCCAGTGAGCAGGTGGCGGATGAGGAACGAATGCGGAAGGGCCTTCACCACCTGGAAGGGTTCGACCCAACGCACGAGCAACTTGCCTCCCTGGAGGCGCTGGTCCACACGCGACCACAGCACGTAGTCTCCTTCCGAAAAATTGCAAACTGTTCCCTTGGAGCGAGCCATGGCAGCCATGCAGCGCTGCTCGCGCTGGCCGCGCACAACACGGTGCAGGCCCTGGAGACTGCGGCGTAGCTCCTCGATAGCCTCACGGAACTCGGCCTTGTCCAGCGGCAGTGCGCGCGGCAACTTGTCCTCCGGGATCATCACGACGTCCAGCGCCGAAGGCGCTGGGAGTCCCGTGAACAGCTCGACAGGGGCACAATTTCCCAGCGAGACCACGGGCGTGTGGTTCAGATTGGCCTGCACAAGTGGCAGTAGATGCACCCAATTGCGGGTGTTGAGCTGGTTATCGCAGCGTCACCCTCAGCACTTGGAGGATATCGCGGTTCACCCTTTCCACGGTGCCGTTGATCACCGGTGAGTACACCGGTACAAAGCCGCGCGATACTCCGAGCCGCTCAGCTAGCCACTCTATCACGTAGTTCTTAAAATATGCTCCACTGTCTGACATCCACATTGCTGGCAGCCCAAACCTCTTGTGCCAGTCCAGAATAGCCTCCACAGCTGTCTGACTGTCGGCAGAGTCTGCGGCCACCAGCTCGCAGTAGTGGGTCAGCTCGTCCTTCAAAACGAGCACGTACTTGGCCTCGCCATAGCTTTCACCCAGGTAGAGATAAGATAGTCCATGTGCATGCACTCGTTTCGGTCGGCCACCTCTCGGTCGACCGTCCAGTCACGCTGGATCAGTGTACCACCCTTGACATGCTTACAGGGGAGGCACTCGTTGATGAAACGCACGACGGCTGGTCGGACGTTATCCAGCGAGAAATGTCGGTTTAGAAGTTCAACCATCACGTGGACACCGCGGTGTCCTTGTGCACCGCAGTGCGCGACCACAAAGATACGCTTCACCAAGCCCTTGGCCTTGGTGGGGATCCAAAGGCGTCCTTCAACTTCAACAGCTCCATTCACCTCCTCTCCCCATCGGGTGCGTCGCGGCGGTGCTGCCGCTGTGCCTTCACCACGTCGTCTCGCGTGGGCCAGACGAAATGGTCGTCCTGCAGTGGACGCAGCTCGGAGAGCGTCTGGGCAGATCGCGTGGTCACGCGCTTGACAGCGAGAGCTTCACCAGTACCAGTTGCCGGCATGTCGGCCCAAAGGTTGGCCTCTCCAGCGATGTGGTGAATCACGTATCTGCAGCTGATCAGCTTCAACACCAAGCGTTGTAGTTTGCCTTTGACATGCTGCTTCACTTCCTTGTGAGGCGAGAACAACTGGATCAGGTTAGATTGGTCACAGTAGATGTGAAACCTTTCCTCCCGCGCGAGCATGTAGTCTAGTTCATCACATGCCTTCACAATGGGGTACCCTTCTTTCTCCACAATTGACCAATTCAGTTGCGCACCCTTGAACATTCCTCCACAGCAGATCAAAAGTTCATGCGATTGCTCCTCTACTGGAACGCCCTCTTGCCAGCGGCAGACCTGCGTGACCACCATAGCGTAACCGGACAGCGAGGCGTCGCTGAACATGCACACGGTTGCCCCACGTTCCGGGAAAATGAGCTTGCCTGATCTCTCAACCATTGCCAACGTGTTCCTGAATGCAACTTCCTCATCAGCAGTCCAATCGAGTGTAGCTCCGCTAAGCTGAGCTTTGCGGCGGCCCCGCTCCCTCATCACTTGCTCGAGCTTCTCCTGTAGTGGCGCCACAGTCCTAGCATAGTCCACCATGCTGTCGTGCAGCCAATTCAAAGCGCACAAGAAATGCTGCAAAGCGGCACCGGTGGGTGGCAGCGGCATCTTCATGAGAGCTTCGAGCCGCTCGGGGTCATGGGCTTCGCCATCGATCACCTTACCGCACCACTTAACGCGGCGCGCGAACAACTTGCACTTCTTGGCATTCAACTTCAACTTGCGCTGCCGCAGGATGGAGAAGAACCGCTCAAGGTTGTCCAAAAATGCCCCTGGGGTCTGAGCGAAAAGCAGGACGTCGTCAATCCACACGAGAATGCTCTTAAACAACAGCTCCTTCAGGACATCATTCATATGTGCCTGGAAATGGACTGCCGAGTCGCTGGCTCCCTGGGCACACGGGTAGGAGTAAAGACTCCGTCCTCAGTCACAAAGCTGAACATTTCACGGCTGTTGGAGTGAAGTGGCATTTGCCAAAAACCCTTGCGAAAATCAAAAGTCCCAAAACCGTAGGCGCCGCGTACTGCCCCCACCACCACGGCAAGGTTTGGCGCAGCTCCGGCTATCGGTACAGTCAGCTTGCTGACTGGCCGGTAATCGATCGTAATCCGAAACTCGTCGGTGCCCTGCTTAGCACAGGCAACGCAGGGCAGGACCACCGACTTTGGTTGTTTCGCTCGACCAAGCCAGCAGCCTCCAACTCGCGCACATAGTCGCGCAAGAATCGACGCTGCACCTCGGGGTAGCGCCTCACACCACTTCGATAAGGCTGAGCATCTGGTACAAGCTGCACCTCCAGCGGCTCCACATCAGCCGCATCATCATGGCCCAACCGGATCCGGAACACGTCAGAGTAGCTCAGCACCAGGTCTCGTAGTCGATCGGCAGACTCCAGGTCAAATCCTGCCTCGATCGCGTCGTCCACGAGGCCATGGAGCATTGCCGCCACTTCGTCACCGTCGGCATCACCAAGCAACTCGACTTGGTCGCTGGGGATGTCATCTGCTTCGGCGTCGGCCTCCCCGAGGTTGTGCTGCACCAGCTGCTCGAATATCCCATCAAGATCCACACCGATGGACTGGAGGGTAGCTCTACCAACGAGAAGTTCCTCCTCTGGTGCCTCAAGCACCAAGCATTCGATGTTCGACAAGCAAAGAGGCCCTGCCGCCGTCACGATCCGCAGGTCGACGTACACCCGTTCGTGGCAATACATAGCGTTGCCACCTGCAGCCATCACCTGCAGTGGCGGCTCGCACTCTCACGGTCGGCAGATCAGGCACCAGCTCCCGAAGTTCACCAAGCCCTGGCCGTCCAATGATGTTCGCATCTGAGCCCGTGTCTGGGCAGAACGGCACGGTCAACACGCTGTTTATGACAGCGGTCCTGAAGCTTGGTTCGTCATCGGCCGTGACCCGCTTGACACGATCGGGCTACTGGCCTTTCCGCTCGCGCAGATTCTTTGCAACCTCAGCCTTCTGCTCCGCAGACGCCGTTGGGCAGTCCCGAGCCCAATGCGGCCCTTTACAGATCAGGCATCCATCGCGAGGGGGCTTGCGCTGGTCCCCAGAACCGCGGTTGCCACCGTTGGTGCTAGGTGGCTTTGACTGCGGCTTAGCCGGGCGCTGCTGCGCCTTTCCTCCTGCTGTGGCCGAGTCCTTCACTCGCGGAGCTGAATTTTGCTTCATCTCAGACTGCATGAGATGGTACTGCTGTTGTCTGGTCGCTCGCTCGATCATCAAGTCGTGCAGGGCCAGGTCGCTCACCTTCGCCTCACGGTGAGTCAACTCGACCAGCCTGCTCAAGTCAATCTTCAACATCTCCGGCGTCACGTTGCTCAGCAGCAGCAGTTTGCATCGTAGCTTCATACGCTGACGGCCTTCCTCGCCGACAGCTGGCCCTCGGCCCAACATGCCAGCCAATCCGTTGTCCTCGACCAAACAGTCAAAAGTCATGAAGTAGTTGGCGATCCTGGCCTCGACGTCAAACTCCGATAGATCCATCCTCAATTCACGCGGGAATAGCAGAGTGACGTCGGGGACGCGGTCGTTCATCATCGCGCCCACTTTTCGTTTCATTTCCGCGAGCAGCATGTCGTCCGACACGCTCTCGACGTCCTTCTTCAGGATGTAGTGGGCCACGTGCTCCAGCACACCGTCGATCGCACACTCCGCGTCACGGCTCCTTGGACTTCGCCCGTGACGCGACACTGCTCCGCGACCTTGCCTTCATACTGCCTCCGCTCTCGGAGGAACGTCAAAATGGTCGACTGGCTCCAGATCTTGAGACTTGGGGCCCTCGTCACCTCGAAGATAGGCTGCGGCATCGCCATCTTGACGTCGCCCTCGGCGTCATACTCGTAGTCGTCGTTCATGCCAGGCATGTCGTAGCGATGCTTGTTTCGTCAAAGAATTCTTTATGACGTTTGCGCGCTGCAAAGTAGATTGCGAAGTGAGTTCATTAAGCAGTTAGACAAAGCTCCCTAACTACTTGTCTAACAGGAGGGCGCCCCTGTAGCAGCGCCCTCCAGCTCCGCAGCACCAACCACTGGCACTGATTCTGCAGTACCGCCGTTGACACGGCGGCGATTATGTAGATGTAGTGTTGACGTGGTCCGTGGTCAAGCTGTCGGTGTCGGTCGGGCTGCAGCGTCGGCGCCGTCGACGACGTCAGGGCCGGCGTCGTCCTTGGTCTGATGTGTCCGTTGTCTGGTCAATACTCCACGGTTAGAGCACTCTTCTAACCGCATGTTACTTAGTCGGTGATACAAGCGCTGGACACAGTACATAGCCCACCTTTGATTCGCATTGGGCAGGTTGAAGACGACTAAAATACCATTTAGAGCAGTTCAGACGAGTAGTTGGAGCTGTTGGACGTTTAGAACAGTACAGATAAGTACTACTAGTATAGTATCTCTGAAACGAAACCATGCAGGTAGATAAGCTGTGGCACATTGATGCGTTGGTTACATTGTATTTTTGGTAGCCCTGACGTGAAACTACGCAGGTAGATTTAGGCTTAGCGATAAATGTCACTTCGGCGTTTGCCCTCTTCTGCACAAGCGCCAAACCAACAGGTTAACAGCCGCACTAAGCTCAAGCCCCCGACGACCGACATGACGACGTCAAGCAAGAAGGCCGAAGTCATCCTGGGAAGCGACAATTACTTCCACTGGGATTTCGCGACGCGCATGACGCTAGCGAGGAAGGGGTTGCTGGCGCACGTGCCGTTGGTGCAGGAACCGGCTGAGATCACCGAAAGCTGGCTGCTCAACGACATGAAGGCGCTCGGACTCATCGCTCAAGGGGTGGCGGTGGAGCACCACACGAAGATTCGGTCTGCGACATCAGCCATCCAGGCCCGGAACACTCTTCGCGAGTTCTACAACCGGACTACGATGCATAACCGCGTAACGATGACTCGTCGGTTGCATGAGCTCAAGATGGAGGACGGAGCCACGATGGCGAAGCGTCTGGGCCGCTTTGACGAGCTCATTGTTGGCCTGCAAACTCTCAGCGAGCCTCTGGACGGCGGCCGACAACTCGTTATCCTGCTGAGCAGCTTGCCAGCGGAGTACGAGATGATCGCATCGATTGTCGAGAACACGAAGGATGCGACTCTAACCAAGGTCAAGGAGAAGTTGCACAAGGAGTACGAGCGACAGGAGAAGAAGGAGACCTCGGAGCTTGCGCTGAAGGCCACCTCATTCAGCGGCAAGGGACAGAATCGAAGATTCGGCAAGGTCGGAAAGGGGTTTGACCGGAAGAACAAGGGCGGCCGAAAACTCGGCGGGTTCAAGGGCAAGTGTTTCAACTGCGATCAAGTCGGTCACATGAAGCGGGACTGCCCGGAGCAACGAAACGGCGACACTACCGAAGACTCGGTGTTTGCTGTTGGGGAAGATCGGTCGGCGGGATGGCTGATCGACAGCGGGGCGACGGCGCCCATGACGCCCCACCGCGACGACTTGTACGAGTACGACGAGTTGTCGGCAGACATGCATGTGACGATCGCGGATGGAAAGAATATTCGTGTGACCGGGAAAGGATCGGTGCGCCTGACGGGCATCGACGGGAAGCGCATCAAGATGGTGGAGGTGCTCCACATCCCTGGACTCGACCGACGGCTGCTCTCGGTCGGCAAGTTGGCTGAGCGCGGCATGAGCGTGGAGTTCCAGCGCAAGTTGTGCATCATTTGGGACAAGTCCAAAGCGATCGCTTCGGGCCAGAAGGTCGGCAAGGCGTACTTGCTGGACTGCCAACATGGCACGGCGTACTACACCGAATACTCGGGGATCGACGGTCAGTGGGAGCTTTGACACGCTCGCATGGGACATCTTAACGAAGACTCGTTGGCGAAGACAAGGCAGGCCACGACGGGGTTGCCGATGACCCAGAAGACGGTTACGACCCTGTGTAGAGGATGCATGAAGGGCAAGCAGACGGTTGCGCACTTCCCGGCGCGCTCGCAGACGAAGACGACTCGCCCGCTGTAGCTCGTCCACGCGGACGTGATGGGCCCGATGAAGACAAAATCGAAGAGCGGTGCGAAATACGTACTCACATTCGTTGACGATTAGTCGCGGTACGTCGTGGTGTACTTCTTGACCAAGAAGAGCGAGGTCTCGGCGAAATTCAAGTTGTTCATGAAGCTGTACCAGAACCAATGGGGACAGCGCATCAAGTGCCTGCGATCGGACAACGGCACCGAGTTCGTGAACCAACCGATGACTGAGATCTGCCGGCAGAACGGGATCATGCACCAGAAGACTGGCCCGTACAGCCCGCAGCAAAATGGAGTGGCGGAGCGGATGAACCGCGCAATCATGGGGAAGGCTCGGAGCATGCTACATTACAAGGGCTTGACTTCGCTGTGGTGGGCAGAGGCGGTCAGCACTGCCGCATATCTGATGAACCGGTCGACCAGCAGTATGCACCCAACGAAGACTCCATACGAGTTGGCGTACGGCGTGAAACCTCGGCTGGAGCACTTTCGTGTGTTTGGATCGATAGGATACGCTCACATTGACAAGGCTTCAAGCGCATGTTCCTGGGGTACGCCGATGACTCGAAGCGTTATCGAGTCTATGACTTGGAGTCGAACAAGGTGAAGGTGTCCAGATCGGTGAAGCTTGACGAACGAGAAGTGAGTGGAATCTACGAGACGGCGTCCACCGAGGACTCGGCAGTCATCCATGTGACGAAGGATGTCGAAGATCGCGTATTGCACGAACCGGAACGACGACCGGCGGCTGATAAGCCGATGGAGTCTGTGGAGGAGACCACCGAAGAGTCGGAGACACGTGCGACGGAACCAAACGAGTCGTCGGTACAGAATCTGACGGACTCCCGGAGGGTGGCAAGCCCAATGATGACTGAGGAAATGGTGTTTCACCCAGCACCGGAACTAATTCGACGTGCCCGCGAACCTGTGCTACATCTTGAAGACGCCGAAGAGAAGACCCGGACAATGACGACACTTCTGGCCTCCATCGCCCAAGAGACCGAGGTTTGACGAGGACAGCCTACTTGCCGAAGCTGTGCTTGCATATGCTGCAGATGTCAGCGACGCCGACGACGCACCTACCACGTATCAGCAGGCTATGCGGAGCAACGAAGCCTCGGAGTGGGTCAAGGCGATGAATGCGGAGCTGAAGGCGCACGCTGACAATAGGTCATGGACTATGGTTCGCCGGACGAAAGATGCTCGGCCGATTGGATGTCGGTGGGTTTTCGCCAAGAAGCGCAACGAGCATGGCCGAGTAGTCAGGTACAAGGCTCGGCTGGTGGCGAAAGGATTCAAGCAGAAGTTTGGCGTGGACTTCTTCGAGACGTACTCACCCGTCGCCAACATGAACTCGATCCGAGTTGTGTTGTCTGAGGCGAGGCGGGTGAACGCCTTTATCGTCCAGGGTGTATAGCGTACATCTGGTAGGCTTAGACCCGGGAGGGTTAATCTTACGGAAACCCGGAACTTACAATGAATATAAGCTCCGGTTGACGTGTGACCTTGTGCAATCCCTATAGGTGTCGTTTATCTTCGGCGGACCGAGTTTCAACCTTGGGAATCGAAATTGATCAAAGATACAGGAATACAGAGAACTTCCGGGCGCTACTCGTTCCGGGAGTCCTGAATGGGAGTGAGATCACGAGCAAAGACCTTCTCCAAAATAACTAATATCAATACAGAGTCTGTACACACAATATGCAGCCTGTCAATTTTAGGTTGCACCCCGAATACAGGTAAATTCGGGATGCCCCACGCACCACTCCTGAATGCCAGGAGAACAATACAGGTACCTTCCTACCACACGCAATCTACAGGGGGCGATTGCCACAACCTCCTAAAACGCAGGGAATATGAAATGCAAGCGCACACTGGGATTGTACGCCACAACTGGGAAATGAAGCAGGTGTACCAACCCGAATGGGCAATACGTTTGGGTACCTGACTTGGCTTGATGATGTAGTGAGAAGTTTTCGAGGGCCTTGGATCAGGCGTTACTCAATGCTCGCAGCGGGGCTCCGAATGGTACACCCTCTCATGGGCTCCTAGGCGGTACACTCTCCCGTGGGCGGCGGCTGTCCTTAGGCGAATCACGAACCAGGCACTTATGCACTTGAACGCAAAACAAACTCTGTTGATCTTTATCCTCTTCTCTCTCTCTCTTTGGCTATCTCTCTTCTCTTTTGTATCTCTCTCTTCATCGTTGTATACTTCTCTTCTTCTTCATATGGTCTTATGGTGTCGAGAATTACCTCAAAGATCACCGTGAGTGATGGTCTCCTCGTCGCAAGCACCGTCGCGGATGGCTACGTCCCGGTGTTGAAGTTGTGGTCCACACCACATGTCGGCGATGGGGCGTGACGTCGATGCGTCGCAGCGGTTTCGCACCTAAGACGCACCTACCTTACGTTCGCGTACCTACGAGTCTTCGGCGACTCTTCGATGGCGACTGTTGGTGCTAGAAGATCCGAAACGGACACGTTTAGACATAGTATTTGTATTGGACTATAGGAAAGACAAGATAGAACAGATAAGCCCTTTGGGCAACAACACAGAACAGCTTTTCCTCTCAACCGCGCAAGGAAGACGCCAGCGCACGGTGGACGACCCGTGACCAAGGTAAACCTGGTTAGGGGGGATCATGCCTGTCGGTGAGCACGCCTACTAGTATCGTAGCGAGTGTTCATCCGGCAGGGTCAAGAGTAGAGTAGAAGGAGATTGGCCGTGTATACGAAGGGCGAATTGTCGCCGTATATTGGGTTAGAGCTTAAGTGCTTCCCATTGATATCTTACCGTCGGAGATTTCTCTGACACCCTCGCGAACAGCCTACCAGAGGCCAGGACCCTTCCTTTGGAGGGACCGCGGGGTTATTACGTGTGAAGAGCACTCCAGTCGTCGCTCGTGACTGGAAGTGCTGGGTTTTGCTGGTGGCCTAAGGAAACCACGGGACATAAGGGGAAACGACCAACCCGACGAACGGGTGTGAAGCTGGGCCTTTAGGTTCATATTCATTAACCCGACAAGCCTGCTGAGTTATCGCTACTCATCGTGACTCAGTGGGTGTTGTCTTAAGGGATTGTGCCTACATCTACTAGAAAATCGGCGTGTTCCTACACGACAGTCTTATTACCTTGAGGGCCGCTGGATTCTTCACGCGGTCTCCTCTGCTCATATCTTCATACACTTGTTCGGGTTCTCTCGGCTTCAGTATATCCGGGCGTCGCGTCGCGGCGCACACTCATCACTTGATATTGGAGGGACTCGGGTGCCTGACCTGGGGATCTGCTGCACTGCTGACACATCGAACTCAGACTGGCTCACTCTCCATAGTGAAACCAAGTCACGCTCGGAACTGGCGCCTTGGTCGCTGACTTCGCTGACTTGGCGCGTTCCTGGGCGCTGGTCCATTGGCAGATATCTGCAGTGTCTTGGGGCTTCTCCATTCAGGGCAGTCATGGTCCATTCGGGATGGTCGGCACTTGGGCACTCCGGGCGTTGTCCATTCAGGATGGCCATTCACCATTCGGGGTAGTTGCATTCCATTCGAGCTGCCGGCTGTCCATCCAGGCTGCCGTCGACTCCACGAGCTTCGGTGGCCACTTAGTCTCGCTGCTTGAGGTCCTCAACTTGTTGTCGGGTCACACTCGGGGTCTTCGTAGTCGCAGTATCCTGGATGTTCATCTTCAACATGGTGGTGGTACAATGCAGGGTGTCGATGGCTTGGTACACTTGAGTAGCTTCACACTCGGGCTGCTGGGGATTCGAAGTACCTTGGGATGCCTTGGCCTCGCCAAGAAGGGTAGCTCTCCGGGATACGTTCACCGGGGCACTTCACGGTCTCCCTTCGTCAGACTAGGTCGGGGCTGGACTGGGTGCTGCGCACCTCCGGCCAGTTGAGGTCAAACTCGACCAGGTATCCATACTCCACATCTCCTCCATCACGCTCGGGCGTTCCACAGGCACGCCATCCTGAATGAACCCTTCTTTCCCGCACGAACCATTCGAGTACTCTTGTCAGAGCCACCGGGAACGGTAATCAAGAAAATATCAAGTTGCTTCGCCACAACCGCCCCTCTGGTTATGGGCTTCCACAGAGAATGCCATCTTCAAGGTGGTAGGCCATGAGCAGACCACCAGGCGAGCCCACTTGTCCTGGGGACGTTGCTTCCGGAACACCAATGTCCTCCCGAATCACTGAGCATCGACCCGTCTCCACTCCATCTTTCACCCTTGCTGCGGATCGTAGGCCACCCCACAAACATGCGCGCACGTCGCGTCAAGTCCACTGTTCACGTCCAAGGCATGCTACGCGGACTGAAATCCCAACGGTGACAGCAAATTGGAACCGACGCCCCTGGAGGGGATCGGCCGACAACTGCACCGGTCTTCATTCGCCCCCCCCCCCCCCCCCGCAGGCGCTTTACATCCGAAGCATCTTCTCCCATTTCTAGCCATTGCGGGCCGCAGCTTCAAACAGGCACTACATCCGGGGCGTACGTGTTCGTCCACTCCCGGGCGTACTCGCCTCGCTCTCAATAATCCAATCGCAATCAAAACTGTATCCGTCGAAATCACACTTCCGTTCCGCTCGAGTTATCCATTCGGGGTGGCTATAGCCTGCGAGTCGCGCTTCCGGGCTGTCTAGCCTGAATTCGCCCCTTAGCATTCGCCCCTGGGGTGGACGCATACCGCGACGCACTGTAGTCGAGTTCACGTTTCGAGATCCGCCCCTGACCATCTTCGTCGTTGTAGGACACGTGGCCTCCACCACAAAGCGGGTAGCACACCTCGGTACGGGACGCCCCATTACTTCGGTCTGGATGTCCAAACGGATGGCGACAGCGGTAATTAGGGTTCGCCCGGAGCATTTCAGGCTGTTGGCACCGTCTACCACATCCATCGTAGAACAAGTCGTAGTCCACTTGGTTCCATGGCGGGTAGGCCGGACGCGGTTGAAGTCGATGGTGTTGCTGGATAGGAACGTTTGAAGGGCAATATGGCTATCCCGAATAGTCCACCTCGAAGGGGATTTCCTGAACAAGCCGTGCCTTCGGAAGCAGTCGCACATTCGGGGAATTTTCAGCTCAGACATCCTGGACTTGGTCTGTTCGACCATCCGGGGCGGCGTTCGCCAGCTTAGCGGCATTCTGGACTCCGTTTTCTCCGTCCCTAGCGGCATACTCTCCGCCTCGGCGCTTCGCCACGAAATGATCTCGAGCGGCTTCGCCCGCCTTGAAGAATTGCGAATGCGGCAGTCCAACGTCGTCATGCTCAACATCTAGGCGCAGGCTCTCGCATCGCTTCAGGATGTATTCCAGGTCTGTTGTCGTTTCAAACCGATGACCTTCCAGGCTAGTCTTGAGTTGGCCATCACGAAGCTTCCGGAGGTACTGCCGAATGTGCAGCTCACACTGCATGCCGGACTTCCGAAAGTGTATACCGGCTCGATCGACGGCAATATGCAGGCGGTACAAGAATGCCAAGGCGCTCTCGTCGCTGCATTGACTCATGGTATACAGTAGTACCGTTCGAGTTTCGGCGACGTCGATTGGCAGTACTCACGCTTAAACGTCCTGGATAGTCGCGCCCAGTCGTGACGCACATGCTTGGGTAGCTGACCGCGCCAGTCGCGCACCTCGGGTGGCATCTCCAGCTTGAGTTCCCGCAGCTTCGTCCGGTTGGACCAGCCACCTTGAGAAGCGAGATTCAGGAAGCGCTCCCACAAACGACGCCGAAGAGACAGCGGTTCACCTTGGTCGAAGCCATGCAGCACACTTGAATCCACATACGGCCAGTAAGTAACGACGGTAGTGCCATCTAGCGCAACAACGCTTGCCACGGAGTCCTCACGCGGGCTGTCAGAACCATAGCCGCTTGAATCCGCAGAACTACATTCCGAGCACGAGCTGTCGTCCAAGGAGCTTTTCGAGTCGTCTGAAATCTCCGAATGTGAGCTCTTCCTGGAGGACTGTGCCGTAGGTTCGGACCTCCAATCACGATGGTACTCCGGATCAGGCACGGCTGTTATTCCTCGGGATGCGCTTGGCAGGGTAGTCCTGCATGTCGCTTCTTCCTTAGCATAGTTACCTCCAGTCATAGAGGTCCAGGTTGCATGAAGCTCGGCTGCGGCAGATCGGCCATCTGGTTTGACCCGTCTCTCCGTTGCGTGTCCCTTGATTACGCCACTGGATTCTTGGTGCATAGTCAGGCGCCCCGTCCTTGCTTGACTTGAACAATCCGATCAGGCATGGGTGTTGCTTCAGCACCTTGAACCTGGGATGATGTTGTCCGAGTGTCGCGCGAGTGCGTTCTCCGAACGTTCCCAGGATCAGAATCAGCCACCTTGCCTCGCGACTGGGCTGTTTCCAGCAGTGCCAACCTCCGCTCGAAAAGCTTCTGCTGTTCTTTCAAGAGTCTCCGCTGTTCTTCCAGGACCCTCTGCGCCATGCCTTCCTGAGACTGTAGCCTCGCAGCATCCTGGACTCGTCTTGCCGCCTCGGCGCCAACCCGGAGGTGTTCTTCCTGCGCGTGCTCCGCATTCACGGCCTCTCGCGCGCGCTGTAGTGCGTCCTCCTGGGTGCCTTCCACGATTTCGCGGATCTTCGTTGCAGACGTCTTTTCCATGGCTACCTGGATTGGAGTCCGGGTGTCCAAAACACGCTGGGTCTCCGAGGCTTCTTCCCGACCGGCCAGCAACTGCGTGGCTTGGTAAGCCTGGAAGGTTCGCATCATCTTCTCGTTGGCAGCCTCAACCTTCCGGTCCGTGACGCTATCCGTATCCTGAAGTGGTTGCTTCAGCTCAGGCACACTCGCCTCCATTCGGAGCACAGCATCCTGAACCATTCTGGCAAAGTCCAGTACAGCTTGGTCGCCCAGAATTGGGGTTTGCTCATCCCATTTGGACTTCGCTGATCGACGTGACGGCTTTACCGATTTCGGCGAGCGAACTGGCTTCCCGGTGTATCTGGAACTTTAGCGGCTTCGACGGTCTGCATCTTCAGAACTGGACATCTTCGACCTGCGCCCACTCCGTCTACCGGTGCGACCAGACTCCGATATAACGACATCGTCCGGGGCTACTGGAACTGGTGATGCAGGGAATAATGTATCGACGGCTGGAACGCTCCGCATTTCGGGGATCCGAGCAGCGTCAGCTGGGGCGGTCATCGGGATTCTGGATTCGTCACCCGGACCAGTAAAGTCAAAAACCATCCGGGAGCCTCTCGTCGGCGCCACCCTGGGTAGCCCCTCTGGAGGGACGATCGGTACGGATGATCTCAACCGCGAAGTCGCGTTCAGCAAGCTGGGCACCGGACCTTCCTGGGCGGCCAGCAGCGGACTCTCTTCCTTGATCATGCGCGCCTGAGTGAGGGACTCATCCGAGTCGTCGTCCGGCACGATCACATCTTGGGCCGGTTGGGACGTTCCCGAAGGTTTATCCACGGCCGACGACTCAACCTTGACGGCGCCTCCCACAGACGCCTGGGCGGGCACATCCGGAATGGACACGCCCACAACCTCTACCTCCGAGTCCGGGGTGTAGTTCACTTCCGAGCGACTCGAGGGCCCTTCTCTTCGTCATCCGGGGTGGCGGCATCCAGGGACACGTGGTGCGCATCCTGGGCCGCCGGCTCCGAATCCGGCTGATCTTGGTCCTCCGTCGACTCCTTCTCCTCGCGAGCTGCCTTGCGCCTCGCGGCGTTTGTCCGGCGAGTATTCTGCTCGACTTCCTCGAGCGAGAGCTGCTCTTCCGGAGGCATCCCTTGAGACCGACGCGAGCGTCGCACGCCATCCGCGCGTCCGCCGCGCCCCCTTTCGCGTATGCTTTCACTTCCAGCCATAACCCCAAGAGTTAGTAGGTTAGTAGCTCTCAGCACCCCTTAAAGATCCTCAATCAATATACAATTCTAGGTCAAAACCCTAGGCAACCAAATCCGAGCGCGCGCACCAGCTGAGGCGAGGCGGGTGAACGCCTTTATCGTCCAGGATGTATAGCGTACATCCGGTAGGCTCAGACCCGGGAGGGTTAATCTTACGGAAACCCGGAACTTACAATGAATATAAGCTCCGGTTGACGTGTGACCTTGTGCAATCCCTATAGGTGTCGTTTATCTTCGGCGGACCGAGTTTCAACCTTGGGAATCGAAATTGATCAAAGATACAGGAATACGGAGAACTTCCAGGCGCTACTCGTTCCGGGAGTCCTGAATGGGAGTGAGATCACGAGCAAAGACCTTCTCCAAAATAACTAATATCAATACAGAGTCTGTACACACAATATGCAGCCTGTCAATTTTAGGTTGCACCCCGAATACAGGTAAATTCGGGATGCCCCACGCACCACTCCTGAATGCCAGGAGAACAATACAGGTACCTTCCTACCACACGCAATCTACAGGGGGCGATTGCCACAACCTCCTAAAACGCAGGGAATATGAAATGCAAGCGCACACTGGGATTGTACGCCACAACTGGGAAATGAAGCAGGTGTACCAACCCGAATGAGCAATACGTTTGGGTACCTGACTTGGCTTGATGATGTAGTGAGAAGTTTTCGAGGGCCTTGGATCAGGCGTTACTCAATGCTCGCAGCGGGGCTCCGAATGGTACACCCTCTCATGGGCTCCTAGGCGGTACACTCTCCCGTGGGCGGCGGCTGTCCTTAGGCGAATCACGAACCAGGCACTTATGCACTTGAACGCAAAACAAACTCTGTTGATCTTTATCCTCTTCTCTCTCTCTCTTTGGCTATCTCTCTTCTCTTTTGTATCTCTCTCTTCATCGTTGTATACTTCTCTTCTTCTTCGTATGGTCTTGTTACCTTGAGGGCCGCTGGATTCTTCACGCGGTCTCCTCTGCTCATATCTTCATACACTTGTTCGGGTTCTCTCGGCTTCAGTATATCCGGGCGTCGCGTCGCGGCGCACACTCATCACTTGATATTGGAGGGACTCGGGTGCCTGACCTGGGGATCTGCTGCACTGCTGACACATCGAACTCAGACTGGCTCACTCTCCATAGTGAAACCAAGTCACGCTCGGAACTGGCGCCTTGGTCGCTGACTTCGCTGACTTGGCGCGTTCCTGGGCGCTGGTCCATTGGCAGATATCTGCAGTGTCTTGGGGCTTCTCCATTCAGGGCAGTCATGGTCCATTCGGGATGGTCGGCACTTGGGCACTCCGGGCGTTGTCCATTCAGGATGGCCATTCACCATTCGGGGTAGTTGCATTCCATTCGAGCTGCCGGCTGTCCATCCAGGCTGCCGTCGACTCCACGAGCTTCGGTGGCCACTTAGTCTCGCTGCTTGAGGTCCTCAACTTGTTGTCGGGTCACACTCGGGGTCTTCGTAGTCGCAGTATCCTGGATGTTCATCTTCAACATGGTGGTGGTACAATGCAGGGTGTCGATGGCTTGGTACACTTGAGTAGCTTCACACTCGGGCTGCTGGGGATTCGAAGTACCTTGGGATGCCTTGGCCTCGCCAAGAAGGGTAGCTCTCCGGGATACGTTCACCGGGGCACTTCACGGTCTCCCTTCGTCAGACTAGGTCGGGGCTGGACTGGGTGCTGCGCACCTCCGGCCAGTTGAGGTCAAACTCGACCAGGTATCCATACTCCACATCTCCTCCATCACGCTCGGGCGTTCCACAGGCACGCCATCCTGAATGAACCCTTCTTTCCCGCACGAACCATTCGAGTACTCTTGTCAGAGCCACCGGGAACGGTAATCAGGAAAATATCAAGTTGCTTCGCCACATGTCGGTGGTGGTGGGCGAGGCGTACATCACCGAGCAGTTGGATGCGGACACCGCGTTTCTGAACAGCGGGCTCATGGAGCGCGTCTACATGGAGGTGCCCTACGGAATCATCAACGCGAAGAACATGATGTGTCGGTTGCAAAAAGCGATCTATGGTCTGAAGCAGGCAGCGAATGCTTGGCACAAGACGATTCACCGAGTCGTCGTCTGCATCGGATTTCGAACCTGCGGCGGCGACCAATGCGTCTACGTCAAGGGCGAGAAGGGCAAGTACGTGTACGTCTGCCTGTACGTAGACGACATGATCATCGCGGCCAAGACGAGCGGCGAGATCAAGGAAGTCAAGGTGGCGCTCAAGAATGCGTTTAAGATGAAGGAGCTGGGCGAGGCAAGTTTATTCTCGGCATGGAGATCGATCATGACTTATCGGCGAAGACTGTCATGATCAAGCAGACTCGATACATTGATGATGTGGTGAAGCGGTTCAACCAGCAGGACGCCAAGGTGGTGGTGAACCCGTGCGAGTCGGGCATGAAGTTGACGAAGACTCAGTCGCCGACGACTCAGACGGAACGCAAGGAGATGCAGGCGAAGCCCTACCGAGCACTCATTGGCTGCCTGTTGTACATCACAACGTGCACTCGCCCGGATGTGGCGTACGTAGTGACACAGTTGTCGAGATTCTTGGAGAACCCTGGCCAACAACACTGGAAGGCGGCGATTGGGGTGCTGCGTTACCTGAAGAACACCCGAGACATCGGCATCGTCTTCAATGGCAACGGGGAGACCATCGTGGTGGAGGCATACACTGACGCAGACTGGGGCAGCAACCTGGACGACCGCCGGTCGGTGTCAGGAGCAATGGTGATGATCAGCGGGGCGCCAGTTGTCTTCAAGTCGAAGTATCAGCGAACAGTGACCTTAAGTTCGGTGGAGGCCGAGTACATGGCACTCAGCCTATCTACTCAGGAAGTGCTGTGGGCTCGCGCCATGCTGAAGACCTGGGCCACGAGCAAGTGGGAACCACGCAAGTGTGGGAGGACAATCAAGGTGCAATCGCGCTGGCGAGCAACGCAGGCTACAACTCGCACACCATGCACGTGGACATCAAGCATCACTTCGTTCGTGAAAATGTGGCGCGGGGTATCATTGTGGTCAACTATGTGCCGACGAAGGATCAGCTCGCGGACATGCTGACGAAGGCTGTGGGAACCAAGCGTCTGCAGTATCTACTCGAGGCGAGCGGAGTCATCGGTGGGACCGCGCAGCACTAGCGACGAGTGGGAGTGTTGGTATTGGGCGTCGCCAGTACACGCAAGAAGGACAAGGACACGGCGAGGACTCATGCGGTGATGACTCCATGGTGAACGAGATGGCGGCGGGCACGGGCACGTGCCTAGCCACGATGTGATTGGTGCACCGAGGACTGGAAATGAGACTTCAGTTGGTTATACCATAATGAGATCAAGTCAAGTCGAGCGTCCGGTAAACAAGTTGATGAGATGCACTTAGGAGCCCAAGGGGGGGAGGAGGACGTAAGGTAGATTTAGGCTTAACGATAAATCTCACTCCGGCATTTGCCCTCTTCTACCCAAGCGCCAAACCAACCGTTGTATTGCATTTTTGATAGCCCTGACGTGAAACTACGCATCCTCTTGTATCGAACCCTCTTCTCGATAGGTTTTCATTTCTAGTTGATGGTGGTTTCAGACCCTTAAACCGTGATTGGATTGATGATGCGCTCGCTCAACCTTGTGAAACCCCGTTCTTCTCACCGGAATGATGACTACGGCCACCATCACAAGGACGTCTACGAGTACAAGGGCTGCGACGACTACGGCTACGGCCACGGCAAGGATTACTATGGCAAGGACTACTACGGAAAGGACTACTACGGAAAGGCCTACTACGGAAAGGACTACTATGGAAAAGACTACTACGGCAAGAACTACTACTATGGCGAAAACTGCTACGGCAAGGACTACTATGGCAAGGACAATAGTCATCCTTTCGATCGTAGTTCTTGCCACAGTAGTCCTTTCCGTAGTAGTATTTTCCGTAGTAGTCCTTTCCGTAGTAGTCCTTTCCGTAGTAGTCCTTGCCATAGTAATCCTTGCCGTGGCTGTAGCCGTAGTCGTCGCAGCCCTTGTACTCGTAGACGTCCCGTAGATGGGCCCATTTACGTGCGTCTGAGAGAATCACGGTGCATCCAGCACAACGACGACTCCCCTTTCGTCGGCCGGGACGCCGGGCGTCCTGGTTGGGTGTGTCAGCTGATCTTTTACCCGAGTGCAGATGACCCCATGTTGTACCCAGCACCGCTGAACGACTGGACTACGCGCGACTTCATCATCCCAGAGAGTCGGCATACTCGTCCGACAGAGGACCTAGCGCAGCGCGAGCTCCAAGAACGACCTCTTTTGTTGCTGTTTCGATTTGTTCGCCTTCGCACGTGCTTCATGGCAGACTCACGGGGTGATGGTGGGCGCGAACTGGTGGAGGTTCCGCTAACTGCTTTCGTCGTTGGTCAGATTGTGGCGTATTGTGGAACCGATGACTTCACGTTTTCGGCACAAGATGGAACGCAACTCAGCCTGTCTTGCCGTTTTGTTTGCGTCGTTGCTCTTCGACAGCCTACGGAGGCTCAGGCTATTCATTTGGCAGTTCCATGTGAAGTTGCGTAGACTTCTCTCATATCGCGTGACGAATTCGTGGTGGGGTGGTGCCACGGGGTGCCCTTGAACTCCAGACCTTCTCGCCATACAGAACGGTTTCGCGGTCACTGGACTGAGTTTGAATTACCGGACGTGCCGAATGAGCAGCTAGAGCGACTATTGTATGAAACTTTTGTACCTGCTGGATCAGATACGAGTGTTGACTTTGGAACTGTTACTATTGACGTTGGATCGGAATTTGGTCGCATCTTGTCGGTGAAACCCCTCGACTACGCGCGCTTACGAATTGGTTCATCGCACAGTTCGGTGCCACCAGTGACTGGCGACGAGATTGACACGGAAGATCCAGCAGCAGTGCTGATTGCGGGGTTGCAACGGGGTCGATCTCTGAGCCGTGGCGTGCCTCCGGTAGTTTGTTGTCGCAGCGTTCCGACACTGGTTCTTCGTGGTAGTAGAAGTTGGTTGCCAGCCTCTTGTGATGTCCAGGAAAGTGGGCCACACCCGTCTACAGCGATACAACCTAGAGTGGCCACTACTTTGGGGACAACCTCGAGACCGTCCGACACGGTTGTGGCAGCTCCGCAACCAGTCTCCACAAACGAGTCGAACGCCACACTGGCTGCAATTTTGGCATTGACCCAGACGATGCAACAAGTCGTATCTTCCCAATCGGAAACGCATCAGCTACTGCGCGAGCAATTAAATGGTAGTCGAGCTAATTCTACTGGATTTGCAAGTTCACGTCCACGCCCGAGACCGCGTCGGATGAGATTAACCACTCCACCCGATCTCCGCCCGCTCAACATCGGCGAGAGGTTCGTCGTAATCACGATGGTTACAGGGGTCGTAGTTCAACTCGCAGATCCTGATCGCCTCGCCGTTTTGAACGGAGCCGCAGTCGAGACCGGTTTCGCAGCCGCGAGCCTGTTTCCCGTCGATCTTTGGAGTACGACACACGTCACCATCACCGCAGGAGCAGGGAGCGCAGCCGCAGCTGGTCTCGGAGTCCAAGTAATAATGACCGCTGAGGTTATCAGCGAGACACTCCACGAGACGATCGTCGCCGCGCTCCTCCAGTACCGCACGCGCCAATGGTGTCACCAAGGACGTTCAACATTGACCGGTCCCCAAACGCAAACTACCACACAGTTCGAGCTGAGAATACAACAGCCCGATCCTCGGGGTCGGCGCGGCAGACCTACTGGGACAGCCCCCGTGACAACTCGGCGGCTTTATCACGTGCAACACCACGCTGGAATGATGGTAACTGAGCCATGACACTCCTCACGGCTACGAACCGAACCGTGGTGACAGCACTCCATCGATTTAGCCCAGCAACGACCGACTACAAAAAACATTTGATGTTTTGATGACTGGTGCTACTTCGTTTCGACTCCCTGCTGCTGAATTACAAGTGCACCAAGTTGCTCGTGTAGGTCCACGTCCTGAAGGTAGGTTTGATGATAAAGGTTTGCGCTCCTTTTGGAATATGTCTGTCCTGGACCGTGTTTCGGAAATTTTACACCAAGAATGACTTCGCAACTGCTACCGAGTGACTAAGGCCACGGCTAAGATGATTTTTGCCGTCAGCTTCGGCACTTGGCCATTGGATCACTTTCTTCCCCCGCCATTTCTGCGTGACGGGCGGTGGTCCGTGACGACCACATGGTCATCGGGAGACACTCAGCCAGCGGTCCTGATTCGTTCCATGGATGACCTGCGAGCAACGCTGCAATGCATTGAAGAGACAGCATGTATTTGGTACCCGTGTGTGGTGGCGGATGTTTTTCCGGCCGTTCACGACGACTCTCTCTCGAGGATGCTCAACAATACTCCCCAGCATCTCCTCCACGCGATGATTAATCTGTATTCCCACGTGTTTACGGAATTGTTCCGGTCGATCCGCGCGGAGGAACCAGCGCAGTCACTGGTGGCTAAGGCCAATTCGATAATGAAGTGGACGCCTCCTGAGTACAATCGAATTGTACGTCAGGTCATAGACCAAGCTGTCATTTCAACGCTCTCACATGCTCAGCCGCGTACTGCGAAGCAGCAAAACTGAGACTTCTCGCGCAACCACGGCCGACAGGGGAAAGCGGTAGCAAAGCCAGTTGCAAAACAATCGATGCTACCTGATTCGGTCAATGGTCAAGTTCCTGTCCACCAAGATCGACAAGTATGTCTTCGGTTTCAGTCCAAGAAAGGGTGTGATTTTAAGCACGCACACGTACTGGTGGCGCTTCCGGCCATTGTAGCATCATTTGTCAATGAAAAATATGGCGAATTGCGCGGGGATCATCCAGACTTAAGGAAGTGACGGTACGCTGGCGGACGGCAGTACACGGAGTGCAAACATAACAATACGACTTCATCTGACAACCGTTTGTCTCATCCACATGTATCATTGCCCACTAGGGCCCCACCTGCAACATCGGTGCACGGTGCAAGTGATGCAATTGTACCAAATCTTGTAGTCGAAAGACAGCAAAACGTACCTCGTTGCCGTGAGGAAATTCCATCTATTCTCGCGTTCGATGGTGGCGCCCGTACGAGTGTCGGTGTGAGTGCATACGCGTGGTGTGCATGGGCTTCTTCCGGCAAAGTAATTCGCGGTGCGGCAACTGCGGTTACACCATGTGCGACGAATAATGAAATTGAGGCACAAGCCCTGCTTAGTGGGCTTCTCTGGCTTTGGTGACACCGCCCAACAACTCGTGTGAGCATCATCGGCGATTCGGCTGTAATCATAAACGTGGCTCTTGGGAACGTTCGCGTGCGGAGCTCGAATCTGACGTCCATGGTTGCGAGTATTCGTGAGATTTTGTGCTGCTTCAGTGTGGTGACGGTGACAGCAACCTCACGTACCTACAATGTGGCAGCGGATGCCCTTTGTAACTGGATAATGGACAAACATATCGCGGATCTTCATACTACTGACTTTGAGAGCCCTAGCTGGCCGCTCGCCATTGAGACATCAACAGACCCCATCCGCAATGGGACCCGGACGTTCTTTCACTATCAGTCCAGGACAATGACTTCATGCAATGGAAATCACGGTGGTCACTCGTCGTACGAGATTTGGGCCGGGTCCGACACCTCATCCACAGCCGCTTTGCAGCGTCTCGACCAAGTGTGACGGGTGGCTTGGGTGTGAAGAAAACTCCGCCTCCTACAGTTGACACACTCGTTCGATTCGAGACGTCTAACTTTGACACACATATAGTGCGTTCTTGCACCATCAATGGGCTAGAACGTTGTGTGCCACTTCCAGTCTTCAAGACATTTAGAGACTTGTCGACAGAATACCACCTTCCGTTTCCGGTGAATCGGATATTTCTCATGCCCAGGGCTGGGAAACTTACAGTACCTCAGGTGGACCTCGTGTTCCTGTCCGCAGCGGTGAGGCTGTCTCATCTCGGAATTGAGGGGGTAATGAGGATATTCAGAGGGCAGACCTCGCATGACGATCGACCGAAGTAGGCACTTCGACCACGGTTATATCGAATGTACCTCGCGTCTTACCCGGACTTGGGGTTACTCTGCAACATTGCGGCGCATGGCTTGTCGCCTCACTGGCATCAACCATCTTCCAGGGTTGGCGTAAGACCACTTCCCAGTGCGACGGAGGGTGTTGATGCTTACTCGGACATTAGATTCTGGAATGAGGAAGAAGGGAAGTAGACTTTCAACCAATTGCGCTTTTTCAAGAAACAGTAATGTGACTGGTCAAAAGTGCTGAACTAGCCCACATTTCATCCAATGGCTAATGGTGGACTAAAAATAGGTGAGCCACACAGTTGTTAGATTCAGAAAAGCATTCAGAATCAGAAATAATACTCGAGCGGGGCGGCCCGATCATCAAAACGAATGCTGCCTCTAAATATGAAAATATGACGAAGTCGACCTCTGGACCCTGATGGAGTAAGTATAAGCGCGTATCCGGTATTTTATCCATCTTGATCCCAAACTTGCTGAGGCGCTCCAGGTCTACCAATATGGAGACGCCTATTACAAGGTGTCCCGCCGTGTGTACAAACGACGTCCAGCTCCGGACGAGCTGGCCAGGGTAGAAGCAGCCTTTTCCGAGTAATTTAGCACTCAAAGAGTCGTAACAAAGACCTTGATCGGTTAATTAAGCCCTAATATTCACATGCTAATACCCGTTGATCCTCCTCGTTGCCTTTGGACTTAACTCCCACGTCGTGCGACTCTACTCTCCAGCTGGATGTGAATGAAGCTGGTTCATGCCGAAGTTGTGCAGGTAGGCTTCGACTGTACTTACGCATCCGCGAGCATTTGCTTAGCCTCTTGATGGGAAAGTACCATAGGGCTATAGACCCTGATTATTTTCGAAGCACTGATGGTTAAACCCGGCACCGTATCTTCCAAACTGAGACTGTTCCGTGATATTGTAACGAATGGCTGAAAATCACCCACAAGCAAAGTTGTGGGCACAGCCCTGTAAAACTCGTCCATCGGCGTCTTCAGATACGGGTACTTGTCCTTGTTGAACACTTCTCACGTTGCGCAGCTGAATCGCCAGTAGCGTGGCTGTCGGCATGCCGAACACGACGGCGCACAGCAGGAGAGTGGCGTGGATACCGTGCAGCATCAGCGTCGATTCCGAGTGAGCGGGAGCTTCTCCAGTGAGCGCTCATTCAGGGGGTTGCAACCACCGCCAAGGCCACGGCGCCGTGTCTCCAGGGCCGTCACCAACACTGGGGGCGGACGGGTGCAAGGACACAGGGTCCAGCAAAATACTCAGTGACAGAGCACCGATCGTGAAGCAGAAGCTTGACAAGGTGCCTGACGAGGAAGACTGAGGAAGCTGCGGTGGTTCCCGATCCACACACAGTTATTTATCCACGGGCAATGGTGGTCGAAGCGATACACGCAGCGTCTGCAGGCTGAGCAGTGTTTGGATCGCTGAGGCTTGCGCGTGACACAGGTCGGGCACGGTACAGCGTTATCCTCCGCAGCCAGCAATTCGTAGGCGGGGCGCGTGGAGCGCGGTACGTACCCCGGGTCCTTGATGCAAACTACACGTACATGATACACGTGAAAGTCAAAAACGCCAGCCCCATCGTCTGGTACCGTACAGTCTGGGCAGGAGTCTGGGGTGGCAGGCATGGTACCGCAAAAATCAGCGATAATGTAGTCGTGGTAAGCACCATACCGAAAAAGAAAGCGACAGAGGCACCCTTACGCGAAGCCCAGCCAGCAGTCGATCCGACGAACCTGCTTTCAATGCACTTGCTGTGTCGAAGTGTGTGCCTTGCCGTGCAATGTCCATCGCCGTTCTACCGTGCTTGTCCTTGGCTTTCACGGGCGCTCCTTCCGCCACCAGTTGCTTGGCCAAGAACGCATCTCCAAGAGCGCTGGCGATCATTAGCGGCGTCTGCTTCTCCGAGTCGCAGATCTTCTGGTTCGCCCCGTAGCCCACCAACAGCATCGCCGTGTATTGGAACCCTTCAAACACGGCCCAGTGCAAGGCCGTCGCCCCGCGGCTGTCCGTTTGGTCGCTCCACGATACACCAATAAACTCACGAACGCTGCATTCCCCGTGCTCGCCGCGTAATGCATCGCCGTCAACCCAGACGAGTTCATCGCATCCAGCGACGCGCCACTATCGATCAACGTGGTGGCACACGCCACAGACGTACACAACATGAGCGCCGTGGCGCGGTGCTTGGACTCTCCACAGCGACTGTCTAGAAAGTCCTGCAGCGTGCCACACGCCAATTCCTGTTCCTGTTCCTGCTCCTGGGTCTCAGTACTGGCGTTGCTGTTGGTCTCGTCATCGATCTCCTCCTTATCCGAGGCGCATTCAGGCGTCCCATGGCCATTCTGGCGTCCGCGCAGATGGATGTGTCTCTTCTTGTCAGCGCTCCTCATCTTCACCAACGCCTCCTTATCCTCGGGGAAGTACTTCTTGGCCTCCGACACCAGGTACGTCACCACCGTCGGGTGCTCGTAGAGCACTGCGAGGTGCAGCGCGTTCATCTGATGGCGCGCCTCGTGCACCGTCAGCAGGCGGAAGACGCTGTCGGTCACCCGGCGCCGCACCACGTCCGCCAGCTCCCTCTCGGCCCTCTTCTCCTCCTGCCGCTCGGCCGCTTGAGTTGCTTTACTGATGGCCATCTCCACGGCGCTCTGGGCCAGGAAGAAGTCTCCCTTGACGCAGGCCGAGCCCAGCACCTTGGCGGGCGACGCGAAGTAGGCGTATTGGCCCTCAGTGGCGTCTTCTTCTTCTTCTTCTCCGTCCTCTTCTGCGTCGCTCTGGGGCTCGTCCTCATGCTGCGACAAGAGCGTCGCTAAGTTGCCGGGGCGGGGCGGACTTGCCGCCTTGGGCTCGGGCTCCTCGCTGGGCGGATGGCGAAGGGCGAGAAGGCCGAGGACGACGGCGACGACGCCGCGTAGCTGGGCGACAGCAGCGGCGCGCCCGAGCCGGAGCCAAAGTTGGAGCGCGAGCCGCCGGACGCCGCCGCGCCGACCAGAGGCGTCAGCTCGGTGGCCGCGTCGGCCTTCGGAGCTGCGCGCATTGGGTCGGTCGGTCTCTCTTGTATCTCTTGGGGTCGATCCTCTTTCTCTCTATAAGGGGCTATTTGTGGCAGCTGGAGTACTTAAGTAGTTGAGACAGGTCGTGATATGGCGTGGAGGAGAGAGAGTCGAGCGGGTTTGGCATTCGAAAGTGCAGAGCCCAAGCGGCAACGACAGCCCGAAGTGGCAACCATGCGGAGAACCGCACATGAAGGATCTTTGGGCTAGAGGGTCGCCGTGGGCAGCGGTCCGAGGAACGGATCGAAGCGAGTGGTGAGCAGCGCGCGACGGGTGGCGTGCTCCGTCGCCGCGCGAGCTAGCGAGCGCTCTCTTGGGTTTGTACCCGGACGAGAGCAAGTGGGGGCACCCACAGCCCTTGCAGCGGCGCACGGCGAGCTGACGGACGAGAACGAGCTGCCGGACGTGGACGAGCTGACGAACGACGAGAGCGAGTCGCAGAACGACAACGAGCTGCCCTGGTTGTACTGAGGTTAATAAATAGGGGCGTAGGTCCCGGCTGCTTTGCGGTGGCCCACAGGTGTTGATGTTGAAGTGACAAACCCCTCATGGCAGCGGACCTTGGCGTGGACACAGCAAAAGCACTACGGGCGACGGCCCGCTGGCGAGCTGGCGTTAGCAGACTCGTTACACCAGCAGTGATGGCCACGATATCCCAGAAATTTGCTTTGATCGCCCGGAAAATATCGATGCCCTCTTTTCTTGTAATCCTGATGCCATTTTTCAACAGTGTTTTGGACAGTTGGATCACGTCTGGCTGCTTCGACAGTGTCTTCATGCTCTCCGGGTTGGTTACGATCTTCGTGAGAATCTTGGGGTCTTTCTTCGCGGCGGTGTTAATCTTGCTCAAGGTCGGGTTGCGCTGTAGTGTCGTTATTACCTCCGCTTTCTTCGACAAAGCCTCAAACTTCTTGCTGATCTTAGGGGATTTCTTCAGGATTGTGGACATGCTCTTGAGTCCCGAGAAGTACTTCATTCTCTCCCCGCTTTCTTCGTCCTTAACTGCGCTACACCTTCCTCATTAGTCGTGTTGACGAAACTATCATGAGCGACTGAAGGCAAGGTCCGACAAGAGCGATTGTGGAAAGTATTGCCAATACGCGTAGACGCATGGTGAGCAACCCGCTGATGCTTAATCCGTGGCTTACTGTGCCAATTGCGAAGTGATTTGAGAAATGGTTCCAGAAGCTAGCACCGGGTCGTATACCAACAGGAGTTATACGGACAGCATCATTTGCATACCACCTAGCATTCCAACACGATCAGTCAGTGATTCGGAGGTTGCAGCGCCGAGGTACGAGTCTGGCTGTATGACAATACACATCTATCGTGAGCTTTAAGACACGGAAGCAGATTGCGTGAAGTACCGACTAGATGTTCTTTAGTGTAAGTTTTCAAGCACGTCGTCGAGGTTCGGTGCACAGCACATTGCTTTCATATCAAAGCATGCATACGACTGCAATGTAGAATGTATAAAGAAACTTCATTCTTATTATCGTTTTCTGCAGTATATGCGTGCTCGAAACCCCAAAAACGCCCTGACCAATATTATCTGCGCCAATTTTTCTACAGAGAGCAAGTTAATCCGTGGGAAGACCAGCTTTTGGAATTGTACACTGCAGTTTCAAAACCTTTCTCACGCCATCACCGTGGAGCAGGTCCCAGGATATCACGCAATACACGCGATAATGATCGAGCCAAGCTTTGCAGCACTAATTATAGATTTAAACAGGAGCGCTCCAACTCATACTGCGTAGTAAGAACTACTGGGGCGCGCTTCGCGTGCCGGGTCTCTAAGCGGACCAAACAATTTTGTGTTTTTTGCTACTAAAACGGTTAGGACGCGCCGCGCCTCTGCACTTGTTACTGATATTAACATTATCACCAATATTTTTGTGAGTACTATACATGAAACGCTTCATATTACTACAAGAAACTTAAATTTTATACTATTATAATTGATGTTGACCAGGGGTATGAATAAAAAATTTCAATATGAAAATTGTCAATTAATATGACGAAAATATGTGTTATTGGCAAGCGCCATATTTAAATTTGTATTATTGGCTCGTATGATTTCAGGGTACTCAAAAACACTGTCAAGGCGCATGAAATTGAAATATTTAATCAGTATAGTAATTAGCTTCGGTAATCGTCATATTTAAAACATTATTACTGTCAAGCAATTTTACCAATTCAATATAATACTGAATTGGAGGGGCCCTGATGTTGACAACATCATGCTGCAATTGGAATTTATTGCAACTGCCACTGTCGCCACCACTGCCATGCTACAGCTACTGCGGCTGCTACTGTAACTGCTACTGCCACTGCTTCAGCCACTGTCACTGACACTGGCACTATCGCTGCTGCTGCTACTCCTACCTCATCACTACTTATATTGCTATACTACTCATATTCCACTATTGTTAAAGATATTGCATTTGTTATGCTACCTGTGGCGCGCGTTACTGCTGGCCACAGGCACTATCTGCTTACCACTACTGCAACTACAGCTGGAGCAGCTGTACGACAGCTACTACAACTACTATTTCACTACTGTTAATGATGTCATAGTAATGTTGTCATTGATATTGCTTGTTCGTATCTGCTGCTATCGCTACTGCGACTGTTTATTATCTGCTGCCACTACCGCTACCGTTATTATTTACGCTACAACTACGATCTCCAGCATTGATAATGGCACTGTAATGATATTGCTCCTGCTTTCTTTTTCATGCCTGAGAAAGACTGCCAAAATCTACTCCATACTGCTTGACTTGCTGCATAATATCACGGGGCATTTCATGGCTTGCTCAAACTAAATTTATAAGTAGATGCCATCTGAATATCGCCGTCCACCGTGGTGAAAACGACGCGATCCAAACATTATCGATGATCTTATCGTCCTCTAGACCCTTATAAATCACTCTCCTCTTTTCCAAATAATGTGTGTGACTTGTATTGCTGCGAAGTAATATCAATATGACGTATTGTGTCTTTCACGTATTTTGGCGGATGAGCTGTTAATTCAGGCGGAATTAGAGTCATAAAAGGGTGATCAACGCTTATTTAGTGCTAATTATGCCTAAGATTGTGAGCGCTTCCCCTAACATCCGCGATCAGCATTTGAGAGCTAATCGACGGAGATACGAACAGAATGGCATGGATTGGCGGATAGGAAACCGCCGATCGCTCCGTTTCCGCCTATTACAGAATGGCATGGATTGGCGGATAGGAAACCGCCAATCGCTCTGTTTCCAATATATGTTTCAAAATCCTCACAGTTCTGCAGCAACAAACTTTTTCAAGTTGAAAGCAAAAAATTGTCGAGCCTTTTCCCTCAAATAGCAATCAAATCCCTCAATTTGCAACTAGATCCCCTCACACACAACATCCAAGTCAAGCCCCAATAATCAATGAAGGTCGACGCGTTGCCGCAGCTGGACGAGGCCATCGCCTTCCTCCAGGCGGAGATCGCGGCCCTGCGCGCCGGGGAGAAGGACGCGAGTCTGCCGGGACTGGCGGTGGCCGTCGCGGCGGGGGAGGCGCCTCTGCCCGAGCTGCAGTTCGCGCCGCTGCTCGCGCTCTGGACGCCGGCGGCGGCGACTTTCGCCTCGGAGCTGGCGGCGCTCGTGGACCAGTTCGAGGCCGCGCGGCGCCGGGAGGAGGAGGAGGCGCACAAGAAGGAGGACAGAGACGTGTGCACACCCGTGCCCGTGCACTCGGCGCTGGCCAGAGTGCGCAGTCAGAGGAGGCGGCCGCGGACGAGGCCCAGACGCAGGTTCGAGGACCCGGACGAGGGGGAGGCCTCGCAGTCAGCGAGTGATGGGACGCCCACGCCCTCGCCCAGAGCAGACGTTCCTGTGGAGGTTGCGGAGGTGAAGAAGAAAGAGGAGGACAAGAAGGAAGAGAAGAAGGTGGAGAAGGAGGAGCAGAAGAAGGAAGAGAAGGTTGAGGAGAAAGAAGACGAGAAGGATGCGGATGGAGATGAGAAGATGGAGGTTGGGGATGTGAAGGGCAAGGAGGGCGAAAAGGATGAAGAGAAAAAGGATGAGGATGTTGTGATGCAGAAGCAACATGAGGAGAAGGAGGAGAACATGCAGGACAAGGAGCAGGATGTGACGATGGCGGAGCCAGTGGAGGTTGATAAGGAGAAGGAGAAGGAAGAGGAGGAGAAGACGGAGAAGGAGAAGGAGGACGAAAAGGTGGAGGGAATTGTTCAGGAAAAGAAGGATATGGTTGAAAAGGAGAAGAACGACGACGAGGAGAAAAAGAAGGAAGTGGAGAAGGAGGTGGAGAAGCAGGAGGAAGAAGAAAAGAATCCGGAGAAAGAGGAGGCTGAAGCGGCGTTGGCGAGTTTGAAGGCATTACGCAAGACCATGTTGCTCGATGTCTTGTCGAAGATCGTGTCAGTGGCCAAGAGTAAGGACGTGAACCCGGCAATGTTCTCGAAGAAGGGTGGAGACGAGAATGAAAAGGAGGAGACCAAGGAGGAGAACGAGGAGCACGTCGACCTGGAAAAGATCCATGAACGCGTTGCTGGAGGTGCAATCTGTGAGTGGGCACAGTTCGCAGAGCAGGTGTACATATTCTGTCAGCATGTAGTGACGGACGCAGAGCAGCGTGAACAACCCGAAGCGCGGCGCAAGGGCGTGGAGTTGCTGCACTTTGCGAGAACACTCACCGAGACCCTCCGTAAAGCTAGCGTGAAGAAGGAGGCTACTTTGTTGCAGAAAATCCGCGACGCCGAGGAAGACGCCGCCGCCCGTAAGGAAGAAGAAGCCGCGGCTCGTAAAAAGGAGGAGGAGGAAGCTGCTGCTCGCAAGGAGGCTCAAGAGAAGCAAGACGAGAACAAAGAGGTGGAGGAGTCCACTGCTGATGAAACTGAGAACCAGGCGGCGGAGGCCACTGCTTCGGACAGTCACGATTCAAGTAGCAAGGCGACTGCGGGAGACTTCGCTGGTTTTCCACCGCTTACGCCCACTCGCGCGTCCACGCGTATCCGGAAGCGCACGAGTCTGGCAAGTGATGGGACTGGTTCAGCAGCTCCGTCCCCGTCCTCGTCGTCGAAAGCTCCTCGAAAGCGTACGCGTGGAGCGTCGGCTTCTGCCGCCTCGGCCAGCGAAGAAGTGAGCGGGTCGGAGAGTCATGAGGCGTCTGCTTCTGAGGCAGACACGAAGTCACGCGCAAGCAAATCGTCAAAAACCTCGTCGAAGCGGACAGCAGCAGCACGTCGACGCCGTCCTTCAATGCCGGCGACACGCACCAGCTCACGTCAGCAAAAGCGGCGCGCAGCGGCGGCGGCGGCTGCAGCAGCAGACAGCGCTGCTAGTGGAGACGACGAAGATCACAGTGGTGCAGAGGCTCTGCAGTCTGCTGCGGATAAGGACGACGAGGAGGAAACCGGGGAAGAAGAGCAGGGAGAAGAGCAGCAGGCCCCCAAGAAAAAAAGAGCAGCCCCAAAGACGTCGAGGAGTCGAAAGAAAGGCAGCCGGAAGAGATAAATCTACATGCAGAGAAGTGTGCGGATCTGTACGTCATGTAAGTTTGGCGTTGTTGATTTGCGGGTTAAAACTAAGACAATGCTTCACAAAGCTAGCAATTTGCAAGTGTAGCGTGTATATCTTGAGTCTGCGAACGGTGTTGTTTCTGTGTGAGCCTGCAGTCCTTCTGAGGCAAGACTCTTGGTATATTGTAATGTTTCCTTTCGTACCACACGACAAATAAATGACGTCGCTAACGAATGGGAAGGACCATAACGCGCGATATGCTCAACTGAAAGTTAGCGTAGAAGTTCTCTAAGCGGATAGCTTAGAGCCAGCGTCATTTCTTGTCAGACCATCAGTTTAATACATTCGGTACATTTTAATATGAACTAGAGTATCCAAAATCTCATGGTATTACCGGTATAAAGCAGCGCAGCGTCCGGATCGATGCTTTTGACGTGGTTTTGGATTTGGAATAAAACTTAAGCAAAACAAAATGTGCGGTTTAATTCACACCCTCGATTAGATGGGCGTGATGTTTGCTGCAGCAAGAACCTAAGTAAAGCAATATGATGAACGCATGGCGCAGCGAAATTAGCGCCAATTTGCACCGCGTACTTTATAACTGCAGTAACGTGCAAATTGCAGATGTAGTTCGTAAAAATAGAGGTATTTTACTAGGTGCGGCTCGCGAAGAAGTCTCGTTGGATGACATTATACTGGGTTGCAACAACTCACGCACCATGGAGTACTGTAGACCTTGACAGTTTTCTTCCTGATCGTGGGGTGAGCAAAAACAAGATAGTAACAGAAATAGCGATAACAATATCAGTTTCAAAGTCAGTAACTAATAGCGGTTGCAGTAGCGGTGGCATTGACAGTAGGGCAGTTGCAGTGGTAGCTGGCAGTGATCGTGACGCAGGCGAACAATTCCAATAGCAATATACCGAATAAAAATTATTGTGCCTTTCACTTATTCTGCCGTGATAATTCTGGCATAACTCTAATCCATTATCGACCTTAATTATGCCCCGAGTTAGCTAATTCCCATGTTAATTCCGGGTCGTCCCTCCGTGGCCGAATTAGGACCGGCGATGGTGAGGCCGACTCAAGGCGGAATAAGCTAATCCAGCCTTCGTTATTAATAGGCGGGTATTCAGCTTCTAGTGACGTTACATGATACAGTACACTTGGCGACACCCATTGTCTGTTTCGACTTCTTGTCTTCACTCAGCCGCACGCACGTGAGGCGGTCACTAAAGGAAGAAACAAACAAAAGTTTGCGTGCGCAGAAGATGATAGTGGTCGACGGGCGGAAGGCTCATAAACATCCTGGTAGGCCCTAAGTCAATGTAGCAGTAGATGTGTTAGATGACGTCCAACGACGACAACGTCAGCCGCAGCATTATCGTGCACAGCCCCGACGCCTCGACGCCGCCGCCCACGTCGCCCGTGACCATCGTCCCGCGCGAGGAGGAGCTGACGCCGCCGCAGCGCCGCCCGCCGGTCTCGCTGCCCCGCCAGGTGCAGGAGTGCACCATGCAGCGCGTGCTCGTGACGGAGAAGACCTCCGCGTGCAAGTCAGCTTCCAACAAGTGAAAAGAGCTTCAATTATTTTTAGTTCAAGATAAATAGTTACGAGAGCTATGCGTATACCACCGATACTGTAGGTAACATGGAAGTAGTAGATTTCAGAGCTTCTTCGTGCAACGCGCGACTTTGTTTCTCGTTTTAATTGTTGCTTTGAGGATAGCGATAGTGACGGCACGGCCGCAGTGGAGATACCCACACTAAGTTCTTTAGCTATCCCAGCCTACGCATAGCTCTCGTAACTATTTATCTTGAACTAAAAATAATTGAAGCTCTTTTCACTTGTTGGAAGCTGACTTGCACGCGGAGATCTTCTCCGTTACGAG